GGTTCGAAAGCCCCAGAATGCTGGGAGCATATATTCAGCGCGTGCCATTACGTGTCCAGCTTCGAGCACTCGCTGTTCGGCCAGCAGGGTAACAACGCAACGCCCATAGTTACGATGCAGACAGGCAGGAACAAAACTGTCTCCATATTGCAGGCCGATGCCAAGTTGGGGCTGGATGGGAAAGACGACGAAACCTGGTAAGTTAAGACAAATGTCGGAATTTTTCATTTTATAGTAAGACCGGTATTTATAAACTCGTAAAAGGTGCGTAATGTTTAATAGATCATTGATATTTTAGTTTCTTCGTTTATATCCTTTCATGGAATATCTAACAGTGTAGGCGCCTACGCATTATCTTTTTCTCTTTTGTTAGTCCTTTCTACTACTGCCCAGCAACGTTGTTTTTTTGTTATAGGAAAGAGTGACAAACCAGCACACAGTCCACCTGATGGTAAGTGTTTGCGGTGGCCCGTAGACATCTACATCATTTATCAATTACAAATCAAAATGCAGATGCGTTGTCACTCGTGAGGACTAAGATGGAATGCCTCGTTTCCAGTAAAAAGGTATCCGGTTCTCTACGTTTACCATACGAAACAGCAGCGTTAAGTTGCCATGTTACACTGGTATTCTGTGAGAGCGTGGTCCTTCCCCGGTCGAGCCGACCTATTCGTGCTACAACTATACTAGTGATATAGCTACAGCACGGCTCTACCACGTATAATAACGGTCTAAACCGGCCGGCTAAACCGATTGTAATGAAACTTTAATACTAGGAGGAATCTAGCATATATTTTATCCGAAAAACTTGAAGTTTTCTTTTTTGCAAAAACGAAAAATTTATAAAATAAATGGTCTTTGTATCTTATAGATCCCATCTAGACGAGGCTGGGGCTTGAGGGTTGCTAGTAAAAAATATTAAAGATTTAAAAGGTGTTTATGTCCTTCGTCCTATCGTCCTTGTGTAGGATGTGTATATACACACTTACATATTTCTACACAGAAGTCTATCATTTATAGTATTTTTTATAGGAGAGAGGGCAAACGAGCATACGGCTCACCTGATGATAAGTGACTATCGCCGCTCATGAACAACTGCAACACCAAGGGAATTGCAGGTGTGTTGCCGGCCTTTTAAAAAGGAGTAAGTTCTTTTCTTGAGTCGTATCGGTCCGGAAAAATCGCCATTGGTAAATTATTCCGCAGAGAGGTCGTACGCGGAAGAAAACTAATAGTGAAACATACAGCGGTGGATCGCCAAGCATCCAGATGGTGTGGATGGTATCAGGAGTTATGCCGCGATGTGCGTTCGTGAAATGTGGCGGCTAGGATTAATCCGAACAATTCCTCAGAGCACTCCCCGTGGTAAATGCGAAAGAAAATGAAAAGGGATGCAACATCTCTTCGCAGCGCTAGTGAATCGAGCCAGTCAGTAAGGACTCGGCCGTTGAAGATTCGAGCCCCTCTGCGCTAGATGCGGTCAAGTGGAAGCGGCTGGCATTGAGGAGCCCCAGGCCAGAGATGGGAACAGTATTCCATGTGAAGCCGAACCTGCGCCTTGTAAAGTTGCTGACTGTGTGCCGGCATGAAATACTGTCCCGCTCTGCTGAGCACGCCAAGTTTTTTAGAGGCCAATTTGGCCTTCGCTTCCAAGTGACAACGAAACTATAACGCCACTCGATATGTCGACGCCGAGGATTCCGATACTGGCTGAGGCAACAAGGGGAGTGCTTTGAAACTGGTGCCGAGGATTCCGATACTGGTATGACAAAGGGGTTATTTTTAGCGGTAAACGCGCAAAATTGTGTCTCTGAGGGTTAAACTGTACTAGATTTAGTCGCAATGAATGTTACCGCTTCGCAACATATCATTGATATGCAGAAGAAACAGCGTCGGTGATAGCACGCAGCCTTGTGGAACACCAGCATTAATAGGCTTGTAGTCGGAGCATGCACGGTCTACAACGACCTTGATGCTCCGATCTGCAAGAAAGCTAGTGATCCAATTGCTCAATTTCTCGGGAAGCCCATAGGAAGGAAGTTTCGAAAGAAGTGCTTTGTGCCAAACCCGATCGAAGGCCTTCGCAATGTCCAAACTAACGGCCAATGCCTCCCCCTCGGACTCTACTGCCTCCACCCATCTATAAGTCAGGTAGACCAGACCACCAGCTCATCGAACCTGCTGAAAACCGTATTGGCGGTCACTAATCAGCTGGTTCCTCAAGGTACCGCATGAGCTGGCAGTTTATAACGGATTCCATTATTTTGGAGAACAAGGAGGTGATGGCGATAGGCCTGTAGTTAGACGGGTCTGAGCAGTCGCCTTTTTTCCCTACCCCTAGATAGGGTGTACAAAAGCCATCTTCCATGTTTACGGGACCACGCCTAGGAAGTAGGAGTACCGTAAAAGACTCGTTAGAACCGGTGCCAACTCCGGAGCACACGTCCTCAGCACAATTGGGGGGATTCCATCAGGCTCATTTGACTTGTTGATGTCCAGGGAGAGGAGTGCTTTGCGAACCTAGCATTGTATGAACCGCACATCCTGCATGGAGCACTTACACCGCGAGATGGTCGGCATCATCGAGAGTCGAGTTGGAGCAAAGAAAGAGCCTAGCAGATCGGCTTTTTCCTTTGCGGCATGGGCCAGTGAGTCGTCCTCCCTGTGCAGAGATGGAAGAGATGGCTGACAGAAGTTCCCTTGAACAGCCTTGGCGAGAGAACAGAATGCACAGGTTCCCGAACAAAGGCGAACTAGTTTCTCGCCAATTCTGCCTATGTGCTCTGACTTTGTCTTGGCAATGGTTCTTTAGAAGGACCTGGAGGCGGAATTATACTTCTTTTTAAGGGCGGTAATGTTTACATCTCGGGACGTTGATGCGTCAGCTCAGGCCCATTAGCACTCCTGCGTTTAGCGTGATGCTATTTTACACACCACAGAGGAAGGAATAAAAAGTTCCATGCCCTGAAGTACCACATCAGCAACAGAATTAGCAACAACGTTGGGATCGTCTGGCGAGAAGCAAACCCGCTCCCAAGGGTAGGTTGCAAAGAAAGATCGCATCCCATCCCGATCAGCCGACCTATAGTGCCAAACACGGAAGCAGCCTGCAGAAAGCAACCGCGATTTCAACGTGAGTGGCACCACCCTCCGGACTAGACAATGGTCCAAGGAGCCAAGAGGGTCGTTGACGGAGACATGATATCTGTCCGGATGAGAGATCAGCAGAAGGTCAAACAGGGAAGGCGTAGGCACCTGATGTGTCAATTATATGCCAAGGCAAAATCATGAACAGATCTCCCCGCATGATTGGTTACACGTGAACCGAACCATTCGGCGTGGTGAGCGTTAAAATCGCCAAGGATCACGATCTCTGCGTATGGGGCATGTTGTAGCAAGGAATCTGTAGCCATTTGGAAGTGGTCGATGAGCCGGTCTGTTTCGGCGTTACCGCTATGGGATTTATAGAGGCACCCGTGGACGCGCGGATGGTCGTCGCTGTCTACGCGTAGCCAAAGGATGGACAGGTCTGAACCTTCAAAACTGCCGAGGCGTCTAGAACAGATGTCCTCTCTGACGTATACGTAAACTCCAGCCCGAGGTACACTAGTTGTTTTTGTTGCATTTAACTAAGCTATTTTAACTTGATTTCTTTTTCAGCGTGGACGTGTTCAATTTCTTGCAGCCAGTAATGGAGAATAATTTAAACAACGACATGTCTGCGGCAAAAATTGTTGAAACTTGTCGGCAAGAGGTAAGAGATTGGAGAATTAGAAACATTGACTGCTTTCGGATACTCGTATTGCCTGTAATGGTAGTCACGGTTTTATTCAGATTAAATACTTAACATAGATAATATTTATTATAGTAAAACAATTATTTACTATTATCTTTTTCAGAAATCTGTATTTGTTCTAATACCTACATTGATTTAAATGGTTAGATGCTACCAAGTAACCTCAAGTAACGCAATAAGAAAAAAAAATTTATCAGGTCTGGTTTCACACAGCCATTATAGTAGATTTAGTTGTTCACAAAATTAAAGATAATTAAAATTAAGCAACTTATTAATGAACTATAACTTTAATAACTTAACGTAAAATATTTTTGCATTCAAAATGGCATTCAAATATATTTAATGGCATTAATGACATTGCTTCCAATTTGTCTATTTCATAATTTGTGTTGACACATAAACCACATATTATTTAATTAACTGATAACGTAGGGAGGCAACGTGATATCTGGGCCGGGAGCGGCGCGCGTTTGCTGCGCGCTCTCGGCAGCTGCGGACACGCTGTTCACTCGGCTGGCGGCCACCACCACGCTGCCCACACTACGCGCAGCCCTGCAACGGCTAGTCGCTCACCAACACCGGCTGGTGGGTATTTAGCTAAATAATTATATTTACTTGCTTATGATATTGTTAATGTTATATAACAGTGATAAGCTGATAAGATATTATGACCGAAAACCGTTGGTGTACAAAAGTTCTCGAATATCAGTTTTGTAAGAACAAGTGCAGTGTAGGTAACAGTAAGTTATGTCTATGTGTGACCTGTATTTAAGTTGCGATATCAAGCGTGACTGTTAAAGCTGACCTTTTACTTTTGGGATTGATAAAGAACGATAACTGTCTTCTTAATCTTCTTTACCAGCTCCTAACAATCTCCTACTGCGTATGTGTCTCTGGAAGGATTTTTGAATAAAGCTTTTGGTAGGCGGATCAGTGTTCATAGCACCAGACGTCTTGTATCTTTAACACTGCTGTGTTTTGCTGTTTTTGGGTGTAGCTTGCCTCTGGCAAAATCGAGGTAGTGCAATGCCATCCATCAGAGCCCTTGAAGTCTTTCTGGCCCTTCCCATCTCACAACACACGCGGGGCAAAACATGGAAATTATTTCTCAGATGTTGCAAAGTTATTAATCAACCATACTGTATAGTTGTTTGAACAAAAATGGAGATGGAAGCGTAATGAATGCGTATACTAAGCAAAGAAGCAAAGAGCAGTCTGTTGAGGGCAGAATGCTTGAGGTCAAGGAATAAGAAAATTTTTAACCAGCTCATTCAGAGTTCTATAGAGTCAGTAATTCCAGTAATTCATTCAAAGGACAATGTACACAATAACAAAGTCCCAGAGAATATACAACGTTTCTCTATTACTAAGTTTGAATATATTATTAAACAAAAATTGCATAAAAATGGTTATAGAAATGAATACATGGTCTTGCAAATTGTTTCTTACATAAGTTTTGTAAGCAGTTTGTACAGACTGTGTTTTTCTACCGATTTCAAAAAGGAAACGGTACTCAATTCGATTTTTATGTGTGCTACCTCATAACTTTTTTTCTGGGTGAACCGATTTCGATGATTCTTTTTTTTAAAGCTGGTGCTTCTCATGTGAGCCCATATAAATTTGATCAAGGTCTGATCAATAGTTATTAAGTTATTCTTAATAATTTATATTGAAGTCGGTTGTATAAATTTTTTAATAATATTACATACTTTTACTTGGAAAAAAATTCCCACTGGGTTCCTTTTATAGAAGAAAATTATTCTTTTCTATTATATTCTAATACTGCTACTTAATAAGTGATACATTGTTCTCAATCAGTAATGACACATCATTATTGTCGGTTGTAGCTGTTCTCGGCGTGGGAGCAGGATGTGGCGAACAACAACGCGGCGTGGTGGCGGCGAGGGCGCGCGGGGGGTGCGGTGTACGCGGGGGGCGCGGCGGAGGCGGCGCGCGCGCTGTGCCGCGCCGGCGACGTGGCGCTGCGCTGCCTGCGCGCCGTGCGCCCGCTCGCGCACCGCATGGCCATCTGGACGGTGGTCGGCCCGCACTTCATGCAGGTGCGTCGCTGGCTACACACGCTATAGTCTATCGGAAAAGTATGCCTGTACCGGTGTGCGTGCGCACGTAGATAGAAGCGTCCCAATACGTCGTAGATCCATGCTACAGCTATATTGTAGATGTAGCACGAATAGGTCGGCTCGATAGGACACGACTCGAATACACGAAATTGCAACTATTAGGTAAAAAATTACGGTATGAAAATCAAAACAAGGTTATTAACTCTGGTTCTTACCGTAGATATGTTTTCTACAGATATCAACTCGAATCCGATCCAAAGAGAATCATGCCATCCATTCTAAACAATGAAACCATTAATGTATCAAGCATTCAGCGTACCCGTTTGTTGATTTAAATTTGTAATTTTGCAGGCTGCATGCCACAAGGATATTCAAATAGCCAGTCTTGCCATCCAGTGTTTACATGACTGTGCAACTACACTGCTCAATCAACAAGTGGAGCTTCCTCATTTCCACTTTAACGAAGCGCTGCTAAAACCTTTTGAAAATTTATTGTGCCTAGAACTTTGCGATGATGATATACAGGTATAATATTTAAACGTCATCCTCCTCCTACTACTAATATAAATTCGTGCTTTAATAATATTAACGTTTTTTATTTTTATTTTCAGGAACAAATTATCTCTTGTATATGTGAGTTCGTTGAGACGAATCGCATGGAAATTAGATCTGGTTGGCGCCCACTTTTCAATACTTTACGGGCCGCCAACAATTCAAACCAGTATTCAGCTATTCTAGAAATATTTAAAGTTTTCCTCAATACAGACAATACGTTAGTCTTTGCTAATGCTGCTCTCGATTGTATACTTTGCCTACTTAGTCATATTAAAGGACTTCATTTTGAAGAAGTACAGGCAACGGAAGTTAAGCCAAAAAAGATCACACCTCCGCAACCAAAACCTAGCCTGAGTCTAAAATTTTCTAAAAATAGTAAGTTTATACCTCTCAATGAAGAAAAATCAGAAAAAGTTATAATAGACATGTGTAGAGAAGCTCTGTTTCATTTGGAAAGTTGTGCCGAAATTCTAACTATAATGTATAACATGCCTAAATGTCCTATATTTAACACCGGTAACAGAATCAAAGGTGATATACCACTGTCTGTTGTAGATCCCATTATACCTAGTTGCTCCCTTGATGTTACTAAATATATTACAAATGACAATTTTGAAGAAGAGTTAATTTCGTACAAAAAACTATCTACAACCTTGCATTCATCGAACACTACAAATACATGTCTCTTAAAACTAGATAAACCAAGTAATATACTAAAAGTCTGGTACGTGCTTATTGAGGGCCTGATATCAGCAACTGTGGTATGTTCAAAGAAAAATCAGCCAGCAGCAATGGAAACACTATTCAAATTGTTGAAAAGTACGGTTGATGTACCTGGAACACACTTTGGCCTTCATTGTATTAACCATCTTCTTTTACCCACGCTACAAAATTGGTTAAGGCAAATTGCTAATGTCAACACTCATTGGGATACGATAATGCCAAATTTCAAGTTATGTTGCGGGATGACAACTGACACCATTGTAATATTTGTGCATAATTTACAACAAATCAACATTGAACGGTCAACAAGCGATGAAACTAACGACGGAATTGAGATTGAACCTATAGAAAATGCAGAGGCTACGTTCGCTTTAAAACAGATATTGTTGATCTTAGTAGAATGTATAGCCCAACCACAAGAGCCCGTTGCCAGATTGGGCGCATCTTGTATAAGACATATTATACTTACATCTGGGCATTTATTAACGGATGATCAATGGGAAATAGTTTGTACAAGTCTCCACCGAGCTTGCAACGTCAGCTTGAGTCCTTTAAAACAAATAACGTACGCCTTCAAAGAAAATTCGAATAGTTTCTATGGAGATTTGGCTATTGTTAAAGTAGCAGCAAGACGCGATTGTTCAGTTAACGATAATGTGAGATTACACGCAATGGCTCAACAAGTATTCCTTACTGAACAGCTAAGGGGAGATAGTAATGCAAAAGTGAATGGAAAAAATTCAAATCAAAATCAAATGTTGATAGATGATCGAAGTTATATATTTCTTATTTATCTTCAAGAATCCGTTAACTCACTTAACCCTGAATTTTACACCGTGAGAATACCTTACAGGGGACTAATAGTAGGACTATTAGCTCATCAAATATTAATACAGATAATTGCTACAGTTCTGATACAAGCATCTTCCGACGTATTTCAGGGAATAAATAGTATCCTGCTGGAAAGTTTAAAAAGTGGATCCAATGTATGTAACTACAGATTTTTCTTAAATAACAATAACATCGATTTGCTCTTGAAAAGCCTCGAAATGTCATATATGCGCGCTATGCAGTTTGATTTACGACCCGGCTTAAAATTTTTAGTTCAGAAAGTTTCTAACTTGGACTATGCTGCTAATCTTTATAAACAAACTTCTTCATCGTGGTTAATTAAAATCATAGCACTCACTGAAATATTCTTTAGTGGCGTTTATAGATATAAGCTTAAACCCTCAGATATATCAATCATTTTAAATAATTATACAACCTCATTTAATTTAACTCTGGATTACGACAGATTTGTAAGAAAATTATTTGATTTAAAAACTACTTGGGAATTACTTTGTAAAAATTTTGTCAAGAACACAATCAACGGTACAGATTTCGATGAACCAAGTATTTTTAAAGATCGTTTATCCTGTAGCTCCGTAGAAAGCGAATCGTCTTCCAATAATTACGAACAATATTATGCTGAAGAAATGCCAGATATACCTGAACCATCAACCAATAATTCAGACAAGGAAAATTATAATGACGACAATACAAATGAAGCTATTAATACACCAAAACCATTTACATTTGCAGACTTTAAAGCCCACAGCAGTAAGTCTGTAATTGAACCTGAAGACAAGGAAAAAGAAAAATTTGAATGCCACAATGCTACATCAGATGATGAAATTAATACTATTCAAAGAGATGAAGTTTGTATCGAAAATGCTAAATCCGATCTTATCGAAGAAATTACCTGTAAATCGATAAACAATTCTGAAATTGGTCAGAGTCCATTAAAAATTAAACTTGATAGTATATCAAATGTAAATAGTAATCAAATAAACACACGGAAAGTCAACATTACAATATGTGATGCACCGAACTTCGAAAAGAATAAAACTCCAGAGTCAATCATTCCTCCACAGCCTGTACCTCCGGAGATCGAACAACAAAGAACGCTAAGCATAAACAAAGTAAGATGTTTGTGTTACTTTATGCAACTTCCTTGTAAGCTGCAGTAATTTAAGTCATGGTTTAATACGCTGGCGACGTATAAAAATATAAACTTATTACTTTTAATTCGGGAGTAGCATTTCATTGTGCAATTTTATTATAAATGCCAGCTCACATCACAAGTATGGAAAAAGTTAACAGGACCATTGATGGGCATGGTTTTCTTCCTTAGCATTGAGGATGTGCCATAATGGTTACATTTTGTAGGGAGACTGGCGTTTTAATACTGCTGTATGTTACCAGTCAGCGTACGTTTGATATTGATATCTATCTGCATGTCAATGATATCTGTATCAATGGTGATGAGGTACATAAGAGGATAACGGATTCTCTTACGTTGCTACCACATGACGATCCACCAATGAACTGTTGCCAACAGACCTACAGAAAAAAATGGATTAACTTAGAACGATTTTTTAGGTTGGTCAGCGCAATGGCGATCTCCCTTGCACTGATCTACTATAAAATTACATTTTGACATATCAAATAAAGTACGTGTCTTAAACTATATTTTATTTCCAGGATATGGACGTGCGACGATCTTGCTTACAAAGTATATTAATGGCATACTTAGAACTTGTACTGACGTTTCCGTTGGAAAGATTCCAACTTATCAACCCTGTACTTAACAATGGGTTTTTACAACTTGCCAAAACCGTGACTGAGCCTCAGCTATTGGACAGAATAAATATATTTTTCGATAAAAAGAATTAATCGAATTTAATTATAAGTGATCGATTAAATGTGATAGTTTAATTCAACTTATTATCATAACCATATAATCCTCCTTGTTCAGTGTTAATTAATTGCAAAATAAAACAATGATATCAAGATTACGTTTCATTTTAATACTCCTTTAATTCAGCTTTTAGCACATAAATATACTTCCTTCTACAATATACATACATCTAAAAATCTGTATCAACAAAATATAACAAATTATAGAATTGTAATTGTACACTATTTGGTATTATGGACTACATCGTAAATTGTCTTTTATACTTCTATCATAGCATTGCTTATTTCAGTCCAACCTATAATACATTTTTGTTAGAAAATCTCCTACTTATAGGATTGCCAGATATCAATAATCATAAACTTAAACTACATCAGCACTAACATCATATTATTTATACCTACATTTGAAACACTCCAACCGGTATTATATATTATGCATATGTTTCTAATATCAATATGTATTATTTAAAAATCTTTTTTTAATTTAGTATAAGAATAACAATATTATAGTAAAATAATAACAAAGAACATGTTTGTATCTTTAAAATAGTATCTTATGCGCTTGCTCTAATTCCATTCAGTATTCATAATATGTAAACAATTGAGTACGACATGTCACACTACTATACACATACTAGACAAATGGCAACCCTAAGTACTACAAAATATATATGTACGACACAACAACATCTAAACGATGGCACAATGAACTCACAGCAAAATAGATACAACTCTAATTGTACAACTGTGTTCTATCGTAAATATAAAGCATTTCAAAGCGTATCCTTTGTCTGTATACGGTATCTCCACATTGCATTGCTTAAGATGGCACATTTATTTGGTTTTATTACTTACTTTATTTACAAAACCTATTTACAGACTATTTTTATTATAATTAAATACAGCCATATTAAAGAAATGGCCAAACACATAACTTAGTGGTATCAGTCCCAATAGTATTTGAATTTTAAATTTATTGATAATTGTTGGCATATTGTACTAGGTATACGAACAAATAAATATACGAAAAGTTCTATGTTGTATATATTAATACATGTTTTAATGTTGTTACTAGGCTTTTATACCAAAATGCCTGTGTTAGCCTTCATTTTGTATAAATAATTTTATCTTATACGATTAGCTTTATCTTAAAATAAACGCAATGAAAAAAGAAAACATTAATAAAATAATCGAAACATGGATACAGCATGAACTTTGCGTTGGATGCGTGTGTACGGGAATAGCATAAGATAGTGCACACAAAGCCACATCGCTATTTATTAACGCACTCCCTCTATTTATCAAATCTGCTAATTTCTCCGCTTCAAGAACGCAGACACTTAATTGTAAATCTGTTGGGTTATCCAAAAGAGTTTCAACTGAAATGAAAAGTTCCATTTCTACTGTCAAGTATCCTCTTAAAGCGCACTCGGCTATTTTGATATGCCTTTCTAAAGTTTTAAGTATATTATTTAAATGTACCACATTATCAGATATGTTTGTTCCATACAACGCTCTATCAAATTGCTTCTTTGCGTAAAGTATTCTCAAAGCGCCACCACATTTTGGACAGCAAGCGCCCGGAGCAGTGAAGCCAAGACATTTTGGTCTCTTAAGTGGTGGGCAAACGATTCTATCAAATTCACATTTTGGTTCCATTAAGTCAGATATGGGGCCAACTGCGAAACAAGGTCCAAGGTAATCAACGCTTACGTATTCTGACCAAGCAGCACACTCAGATGGATAGGTTACACCGTTTACCCCACATACAGTTCCAGTCTGAAAATGAAAATTAATTTCCTATGATATTGCTTGACATTCTCAATCGTGCTATTATGATCGTAATGTTTCGTTATAGTCTATGAAAAGTTCACTGATGAATATTGTATTAATATGTTCATCAAGATTTCCAATACGACTGCTGGTATTTCACTTCATTCAATTATTAAAAAAGAAGCGTAATTCCAAGAAAGAAAAATATTAATCTACTGGCTGTTCCCCGCGAATTCGCCCGCGTGTTATTTGGGGTTTTAATTTTTTAGCACGTAACCCTAATTCTTTTTCTAAAATAAAAGTAGCCTAAGTTACTCCTTGGGACATCAGCTATCTGCCATTGAAAATCCCGTCACAATCGGACCGACAAAAACTTTAGAAATTATATTTTTGTTATTAGTGCCGTATATACTTTTATTTGCATGTAGTAAAAAGCTGTAATTTTGACATTACAAACAGACACTTCAGTTTTATTTATTTGTATAGATATGCTCCATAGAATGCCTCATATTTGCTATAGTTGCCACGCTTGGCAGGTGGGTTGGCAACCGCAGATTTTTATTCCTGGCTGTTATTAAGAACACGCTGCTCCTCATCTTTTAATATGTTTCTCTCTGTCGACACTTACGACACCTAAGGGACGATATGAGGTAGTGGATAATCTTATACCGTCACTACACGGTAAGAATTTATATCAAACAATATTCCTTCTTCTTGGAAATAAAAGGTAAAGATAATTTAGATACACATATTTATCAACTAAAAGAACCTTTATGTCACATAACGTACCGTAGCACATCCTTTGAGGCAATGCCCCCAATAAGCAACGGTGGCTCGGCTCATAACGAGGTGGCAGGGACTGACGTGAGTTCGGCCTTCTGTGTCACACACCGGCATTGCTGGTTGAGATTTGCAATTGGTAGTGTTTACTGAAACATAATATGCCGTGAATTTAATTTATTTCATTTTAAAAGTTATACAGTTTTTATTCATTCATCTATTCTTAAGAGCCCATTAAAAATCTACTGCTGGACATAAAGCATATGGGGGACCATAGATTGCCTCATAGGGATTGTTCAATTTTGCCATACTTTTCAAGTTTGACAACCGTAGGATTTGTTTAAAAAACTGTTATCAGGAAGATGCTTCTGTCAATTCCCTATTTCATTTTCCCCATTAGAAACATATTTATTTAAAATATATCCTAACACACGTATGCATATATAAACACAATTACAAGTTTGTGTTTTTGAAGTTAAAGATAATTGAACAGAAACCTGAGCAAGAGCGGATAAATATAAACTAAACTAAAATTAACACCTTAAAAACATTCTAATATTAACATTTTAAAGGAAAAAAATCACTGGTTAAGATGCATTTTACACATCTCAACTTAGCCACAGTTCGAGTCTATTAAGAGCATTTTGCGTAGTGCATCAATATAAAATTATGCGCATATAACACTATTAGATCTGTAGGGTTATGCTACTTACATATCATTTTACACTATTTTAAATTAATTTTTTTTATTCTGTTTTGATTTTCTGCATTCACCTCAAAACTGGATATTTTGTATCACCTTTATTTCCATAGGATCCTGTAACGTTTTTAAACCATAGGAACACAATAACAAATCATTTTCACTTCGTATTTTCACGCTATCAGCATTTTTTAATTTGGTGTCGATGGAGTCTACCTTTTTCGATCTTTTATTTAGTTCTCCGTAACTCTGCAATTTCGGGCTTTGTGCGCGCTGGTGCGCTACCTTTTTTCCTATAGCAATAATATCTCATTTTTCACTTAAATCTTGCCGTTTCTCTATTACGAGCCTAAAACCAAAATTTGACATGTTTTGACATCGTTGTTTATCTGGTTGTCATGGCAATTTTTATTCAAATTCACTACCGGTCTTTTGTTTCTACTTCGATAATTCCACATAAATACTCTTTCCTCTTGGCCATTTACAAAAAATTTGCTTTTAATTTAAATAATTTTCCGTTCTCTCTAAAAAGGTATAAAAGCCGAACAATCGGTCAAGAAAGTCAGTCTCGCTTCGGTTCTCAAACTCGAAGCATCTCCTAAAGGCCTTATCCCGGGGCCGCACTGCCCCGGGATCCTGCCAGCCTCTATCCTGCCTGAAGTCGCCGGGACCCTGCAAGCCTCTGCCCTGCCTGAAGTCGCCGGATCTTGCAAGCTTCTGTCCTGCCTGAAGTCACCGAATCCTGCAAGCCTCTGTCCTGCCTGAAGTCGCCGGGTCCTGCAAGCTTCTGTCCTGCCTGAAGTCGCCGGATCCTACAAGCCTCTGTCCTGCCTGAAGTCGCCGGATCCTGCAGGCCTCTCTCCTGCCTGAAGTCGCTGGGATCCTGCAAGTCTCTGTCTTGCCTGAAGTCGCCGGATCTTGCGAACCTCTGCATTCACCTGAAGTCGTCGCCTAGACACGCCCACGCCTTCACCTACGCTGTGCGTGCTCGCTCCGAAGTCGTCGCCTAGACACGCCCACGCCTTCACCTACGCTGTGCGTGCTCGCTCCAGGTGCTACGAGCGCTTATTCCAGGCGCTGTGGGCCTACCACCAGCACAGCCTGTGTATAATCTGTGGGCAGCGAATACCACCACCAAAAGCGGTGTACCACTTGGATCTTCGGCCTCATCTTCAATACTCATCATTTTTATTATTTTTTTTTTAGAAATAATTGTAAATCACGTCACCCATCTTCATCCTCATACATCATTTTTTTATATAAATCTGTAAATATCTTTTATATTTTAAATAGATTATTTGTTTTGCCCTATTTTTGTTGTTTTGTTGTTGCTAGGTTAGGTTCCTTTTTTGTTTTTAATTGTCGCTTCACGACAGATCATTTTTACACGCTTCCTCTATACCTAGATTATCACCTCTACCGTGGGAACGTTTTACCTATACAAATTCGTAAGGACAAACATCTACACCCGGAGTCATTATGCGTAGGCTATACAAAAACTTCTCCATGCTTGAAATAATGATGTCCGTGTTTAAAAAGCAATTGGCGTTTCTCATAATTGCTACGATATTCAAAGTGATATACGATATAATAAGTCTATGGAGCTTATTGAACAATTAAAAAAAAAGTATTTAAACATAGGATAGTGATGTCACGACACGAAACATGTAAAGAAAGAAAGTGTTATAAGAAATTGTAAAAAGACACCATAGGAACCTTTTCTTTGACGGTATCCTTAAATACTAGAATTTTTTATCTCGTATTGAGGACTCTGGTTTAGTCTTATCTTTTCATTTCTCCCATACATACAATGTATCCGAAAATATTTAAATGAGTGCGAGATCTGCCTTTAAAAAATTGACTTACCGCAAACATGCTGCGGGCAAGAGTTAGAAAGTTGCGAGAGACACACAGCAGTCTTGGGCAGGCAGACGTGGCGACGTGGACACGACACGCTCGCGCACGGCGACGGCGCACCGAACTCGATGAACACGTCCGGTACTCCAGCACATCTGCGTTCAAATACCACCATTATTATTGAACATTTACTTATAGTACATGGTAGAGCCATGCTGCATGCTGGTCGGCTTTACGGCTACGCGGCAGTTCCACGCTCTCACAGAATACCAGTGTAATAAAATAGCAGCTCAATGCTGTGCAGTGTTTCGTATGGTGAGTGTAGAAAACTGGAGACCTTTTTTATTGGAAACAAGGCATTCCATCTTACTCCTCACGTGTGATAACGCATCTGCATTTTGATTCATAATCGAGGATAGATCTAGATGTTTATGGGCCACATCAACCACTTACCATCCGGTGGACTGTGTGCTCGTTTGTCACCCTTATCATATAAAAAAACCTATTTAAATATTCGAATTTCAGTAAAAGATTAGTAACTGTCATAACGTTTTGTATGTACATAAAGTAAGAAACTGTTATTGGCATTAAGCATTATAAAGAAGTTCTGTTTATTTTATAACGCTCTGTTGGTTCTATGATCAATAAAGAAAAAAAATGTGAACGCGGTGACGGGCAGTTGCCCAGTTGCACGGCAATACGTGCGGTACTCACTTGGCGAGGCAGGCGTGGGCGTGCAGGCGGCCGGCCGCGGTGACGGGCAGGTGGTGCGGCGGGCAGTTGCACAGTTGCCCAGTTGCACAGTTGCACGACAGCACGTGCGGTACTCACTTGGCGAGGCAGGCGTGGGCGTGCAGGCGGCCGGCCGCGGTGACGGGCAGGTGGTGCGGCGGGCAGTTGCACAGTTGCCCAGTTGCACAGTTGCACGACAGCACGTGCGGTACTCACTTGGCGAGGCAGGCGTGGGCGTGCAGGCGGCCGGCCGCGGTGACGGGCAGGTGGTGCGGCGGGCAGTTGCACAGTTGCACAGTTGCACGGCAGCATGTGCGGTACTCACTTGGCGAGGCAGGCGTTGGCGTGCAGGCGGCCGGCCGCGGTGACGGGCAGGTGGTGCGGCGGGCAGTTGCACAGTTGCCCAGTTGCACAGTTGCACGACAGCACGTGCGGTACTCACTTGGCGAGGCAGGCGTGGGCGTGCAGGCGGCCGGCCGCGGTGACGGGCAGGTGGTGCGGCGGGCAGTTGCATAGTTGCTCAGTTGCACAGTTGCACGGCAGCACGTGCGGTACTCACTTGGCGAGGCAGGCGTTGGCGTGCAGGCGGCCGGCCGCGGTGACGGGCAGGTGGTGCGGCGGGCAGTTGCACAGTTGCACAGTTGCACAGTTGCACGGCAGCATGTGCGGTACTCACTTGGCGAGGCAGGCGTTGGCGTGCAGGCGGCCGGCCGCGGTGACGGGCAGGTGGTGCGGCGGGCAGTTGCACAGTTGCCCAGTTGCACAGTTGCACGGCAGCACGTGCGGTACTCACTTGGCGAGGCAGGCGTTGGCGTGCAGGCGGCCGGCCGCGGTGACGGGCAGGTGGTGCGGCGGGCAGTTGCACAGTTGCTCAGTTGCACAGTTGCACGGCAGCACGTGCGGTACTCACTTGGCGAGGCAGGCGTTGGCGTGCAGGCGGCCGGCCGCGGTGACGGGCAGGTGGTGCGGCGGGCAGTTGCACAGTTGCCCAGTTGCACAGTTGCCCAGTTGCACAGTTGCACGGCAGCACGTGCGGTACTCACTTGGCGAGGCAGGCGTTGGCGTGCAGGCGGCCGGCCGCGGTGACGGGCAGGTGGTGCGGCGGGCAGTTGCACAGTTGCTCAGTTGCACAGTTGCACGGCAGCACGTGCGGTACTCACTTGGCGAGGCAGGCGTTGGCGTGCAGGCGGCCGGCCGCGGTGACGGGCAGGTGGTGCGGCGGGCAGTTGCACAGTTGCCCAGTTGCACAGTTGCACGGCAGCACGTGCGGTACTCACTTGGCGAGGCAGGCGTTGGCGTGCAGGCGGCCGGCCGCGGTGACGGGCAGGTGGTGCGGCGGGCAGTTGCACAGTTGCCCAGTTGCACAGTTGCACGGCAGCACGTGCGGTACTCACTTGGCGAGGCAGGCGTTGACGTGCAGGCGGCCGGCCGCGGTGACGGGCAGGTGGTGCGGCGGGCAGTTGCACAGTTGCCCAGTTGCACAGTTGCACGGCAGCACGTGCGGTACTCACTTGGCGAGGCAGGCGTTGGCGTGCAGGCGGCCGGCCGCGGTGACGGGCAGGTGGTGCGGCGGGCAGTTGCACAGTTGCCCAGTTGCACAGTTGCACGGCAGCACGTGCGGTACTCACTTGGCGAGGCAGGCGTTGACGTGCAGGCGGCCGGCCGCGGTGACGGGCAGGTGGTGCGGCGGGCAGTTGCACAGTTGCCCAGTTGCACAGTTGCACGGCAGCACGTGCGGTACTCACTTGGCGAGGCAGGCGTTGGCGTGCAGGCGGCCGGCCGCGGTGACGGGCAGGTGGTGCGGCGGGCAGTTGCACGGCAGTCCGGTCAGCAGCGCTGCCCGCCCGCATGCGCGCACAGCGCACACTCGCTCCCCCAACACGCACTTGCAAGGGTTGCACTCCATGTAGTATTTCTCCCCTAAGTAATCGAATATATTTATTATTTTTTAATATAGTATAGTTGTGCAATAGTTGCTCAAAAAGTGGCATATTGCAGGGACGTATAGCGTTCAGGATGTGGGCTATTACATACTCGTGCTCTTTCTTTACCTTTTCCGAACACGCGTTCTCTTTCCCAACTGTCAAAATAATATCTATTGAAAAGAAAAAACCAACCACGAAGTTTTTACTAAAAAAATTCATAGAAGTTTTTATGATTTATGCAAATATCTATAAAAAGAAGCTACTAATTTGTTTCAATATCAGATTTAATGATTTGATTCAATGAGTTAGGTTAGGTTTCATTTCATTTCATCTTATTAAATTTCATTTTCATTTCATATCAAAAAAAATCTACTGAAGACTTGGCTGTATGGGCATAGTTCCCTTTGCGTACCCAGAATGGGTGAAGAAAACAAAAAAAATCTCTGCTTATATTTTTTACGGTTGGCGCCATTTTCTAAAAATTTTAACGCAACTGTAACTGCTTCGCAAGTGTATTAAAAATAGTTGTTCAGTACACGTGCGGAACCGTCATTGCAACTTGTTCCGACTGTCAACCCTCACATTCCGCTGCGCCTCGGCTCGGGTAGACATTATTGTCGGAACTCTTTGCAATGACAGGCTTTCCGCGCTCGTAATTATTTATTTATTTATTTCATACATTATATTTATTAGTTACACATTACATTACGGTACAATCATAAGTTTATAGAAACTTTACCGTGTACCGATATCGCCGACAATAATAAAAATGAGGGTTAAGTAAAAATTACACTTATTATTTATTAAGTGCGTGATCTGCTATTGCAGGATGCAATGCTCATGGATTGTATATACAGGTATATACATTTTTTGAGTCAGTTCGGATTTTACAGACCCTGGTAGCTGGTTAATTAGGTTAGGGATCATATATTCTAAAGTACGTTTACCACATAAATTATTATATTTAGGTAAGGCTAATTTAGGATTTCCCGAGTTGCGAGTTTTTAAGTAATCACGGGTAACGGCAATTTTTAACTGTTCATGAAAAAATTCTTCTACAAGAAGGGTAAACTTTACTTTTTCGTGTATCGGTATAATTTTACAATGGCTAAAAAGGTTATGGTAATCTGATTCTTTATATTGTTTTTTAATATTATCCGGAACTATAGTTTTTAGAATACGTGACTGTAAATAAATATGTTCTAAATGTGATTTGTACGTTCTTCCATATCTAGACAAGCCGTATGCTACTTTTGACTCCACCAGTGATTTATATAGCTGTATAAGAATTTTATATAGAATTTTATATTTAATTACAGAAAATTTTGCAAGCATACCACGAAGTTTATCACACACGTGCTCAATATGTTCTTTCCAATTTAGTCGACTGTCTATGACGAGTCCTAAGTAGGCCTGTGATTCTACTAGGTCTATGGCTGCGCAGTTACATGTAGTTGGGACCTGTCCTCTGTGTAAGCATTGGTGGTCATGCGCAATGAGCCTAGGTATAACCTTATTCCTATTTTGAGTAGAGCTAATGTACATTAACTTATCAGGATTTAAGATTAATGCTTTATCATGTGACCACTTCATAAGAATATTAAAATCATCTTGTAGGTGGTTGACAGTATCGTTAATATTGCTCCCAGCCGCGACCAAACAAGTATCATCAGCATACTGGTAAATTTCACATTACTTGATAATATTAACCAAACTATTAACATAGGTAATGTAGTGTAAAGGTCCGATTACCGAACCTTGTGCTGTGCCCATAGATATATTTACTAAGTTGCTCATTGAATCTCCCACATTTACCACATATTTTCTATCGTTCAGGTAATCTTTACACCACGACAGCAGTAGTCCCCTTATACTATTATCGTTCAGACTATCTATAAGTTGATCATGACTAAGTGTATCGAAAGCCTTACTGTAGTCTATAAACACTACCAATATGTGTTTTTTCTTATCTAGATGCTTGTAGATGCTGTTAATGAACGCCGTGTGGTACTTTTATGATGTTGAAAGCCAAACTGCTTATTAGTCAATATATAATTTTTCTCATAGAAATTGTAAATTTGGCTACTAACATACTTCTCAGCTATTTTATTAATGGTAGGTAATATAGTAATCGGCCTATAATTATTGTAGTCAGACTTGCTGCCCTTTTTATGTATTGGTCTGACAATGCCTGTTTTTAGTACTTGAGGATACTTGCCGTTCTTAATACATGCATTTATAAGATTTGTTATAGCTACTTTAATCACTGAGCATATTTTTTTTAATATATATGGCTCGTATCCCTTCAAAACCAGGAGCTTTATTGGTGTTTAGAGACTTAATAATGTTTTCTACTGCAGTAGTGTCTACAGGCGTATACCTCATAGATACATTAGCGTTGTCACGATATATTGACTTATCCAGTAAAGGTGTTTTACATTTTGGTATGACTTGTTGCACACTTTCATCAAAAGTCGTAGCAAATGTGCATGCAATGTTTTTAGCTGTATTCCTGCCGTTGCTGAAGGCTTTTAGCAATACATTATTAATCGACTGTTTTATTCTGCCGGTTAATCTATTTAATTTTGCGAAAGACAAAGAAGAAGGGATTGTTTTTTTATTTCTGATTTTAGCCATTTATTTTTGCTTTTTTGAATTAATGAGTTTGCATAATTTCTTACGTTGTTGTAGGTTTGTTTTAAGATCATATTTCCATTGTCTTTAGTCCAATTATTGAATAATTTGTCCCTGTATTCACATGTTTTTAAAGTTTTTTTACTCAACCATTCATTATTTATTCGCCTAACATTTAGTTTAATTTTAGTTTTATATTGGCTGTTCTAGCTATTAAGTGGCTTTATTATAACACTGTTTAAATTTACTATTTATAAAATTATAAATTTGTATCGGACAGGTCGTGGTATTTGTTTTTTGCCATTCGATTTCACTTAACGATTTCATTAGCGCATTGTTATTAATACAAGTCTTTATTTTTGGATCGTCCTGTATACGCGACCCAACACAGGCAAACACTACGGCGCGGTGATCCGCTAGTGTCGTACCGATAGCCGCTGTGAAAAGGTCTTGTATATGGGATCTCGTATAAATATGATCGATGCAAGATGTACTTAACTTACCACCCGAGATTTCTATTCGTGTGTTATCAGTAATCCCACGTACAAGACCCAAGCTGTACATTGAGTTACTGTATTTATGTTTTACAGGACTATCCAAATTGAGATCAATATTCATGTCTCCTATTACATACAACTCTTTATTACAGCAGTGTTTTTGTAAAGTGTTTTCAAGTTCGATAATAAATAGGTGTTTACTGTTTTTAGGAGGGCGGTACACGGCACACAGGTCCGCAGAATAGCCGGTAGTGATTGTACATATAATAATACTTTCGAAGTATTCTATTTTGATGTTTTTAGTGCTGAGATTTAAGTAAATCGTTGATATTTGTACAGTCTAAGCGTTCAAATATTTCATCACTTAATGTCCCCATTCAAAAACTAAATATATTTATATATATATAAATAAACCTACTTCCAATAACAAAAATAAAAATAATACATTACTTGTTCTGTTTGGCTAATACGTTCACATCAATAACAGTTCTAAGATAGTGTATTTTTCCTTTATCTTCCTTACGTGCCTTCACATACCCTTTTTTAAACCAAACGTATTTGAAGTTAAGCTTAATTTTTAATTCCTGTTTTGTTAGCCATAGTATTTGTTTATTTAGTCGAGTCATAGTTTCCCTGATGTACACGATGGCATTGTTGCTTTGTTCTTGCGGGTGAATATCTGCAACGGTCACTGTTGTGGATTTCGCTGCTGCCAACCACTCGTCCTGTATACTTTCCTCTTTAAGTTCTACTAGTAAGCTAACATTCTACTCTCCTTTCCCTCGCAGCCTACGTGATTGCTTGATACCAGCTTTAGGTAAGCTTAACTTCTGAGCCAAATTTTCGACTAAGTTTTCCACATTCTCATTTATATGCCAGGGTACATTTGCAACTTCAATATATTTTGAGAGTTTTTCTTGTTCCAGCGCTTGAGTTTGTTGTTCTAAGGCGCCTACCCTAGTTTCCAAATTGTTATTTTTGTTAGTTAACTCAACGTTCTTTTTTTCTGTTTTAAATTTTTGATTGTTTGTTTGAATGTTTCAATACATCCCATTACTTCGTCAAGTTTGGCACTGTGAAACTGTAGGGAGTCGTTAACCTGCTTCATTTCATTTCTGATGGTTTTTCTACTTCCCTTGAGACGTCCTTTAGTAGTTTCGCAGAGTCAATTTGAGCTCGATTTTCAGCATTCTCTTCGTCATCGTCCTCTGGTACAAACATTGAAGATTTACGCTTCGAAGACTCCTGCACACATTCCAGACATGTCCATCCTAATCCAGGAGGTGCTGCTTTAAGAGCGATGAGCTGCTTGTTAGTTAATCCAGTGCATTTTGTACTGAGATGTACTATGCGCTCACATTTGTTGCATTCCACTCCGGGGGAACTTTTTGTAATAGATTTATTACAGTTGTCGCACGTGGTAGACATAGTAGGTAGTTTCGAAAACAAATTAGATAAACAACAGAAGCTGACGCGGTTATCGATAAGTGTAATGCACACGACATTTCGGCGGCGATTGTAATGAAATATACTATACTAATATTCTTCAAAACAAATCCACTCAACTTTTAACAATCCTTTCAAATGTAGGGACGATTTAACGTAATCACCCCAGCATCACGCATCTTTGTACGTTGTGGTTTTTCGTACCGCTATCTATCGGTCAACGTGTGATTTTTATGGCAGTTTTATATTTCTTATTCAAATAAAACAATGTTAGATGATAATTTCTTAAATTTACGTGAATACTATACATTGAATAAAACTAATTTTAAGGATATTATCAGTGTATGTCTAAATTTTATATTTTCTTAGATAGTTTATAATTTATCTTTAGAATACGAGGAGAATACTTAAATAAAATCGAGTACAGGCAAGCACTCATTTTTGCCTTGGTAAGTTTAATTTAGATCGACCACATCTGTCTTCAATACTCTAAAAGCCATAAATTAACTTATGTAAAACGTAAAAGCTTGAAAAAGAAATTTAATACAACAACATTTGGATTATTACTTAATTATGTATTGGGTGGTGTTTTGAGATTAAACAAATAAATTAACCCTTACAAGTGTTGATGCATTTATATTTGACCTAATGTAATGTGGTAACGGGAAAAATGTAAATCTGCATTTTGCAAACCCGAAAATTGTCTACCAAATGTTTCAGCTATACTATGTATACGTACACGTATATACCTGAATATATGCGTATACGTATATATAATGACATTTTGTTTTAAATATATTAGCGATGTCAGCAATATAGAACAGAAACAATATTGGCCCCAATATATAACCTTGTGGCATGCCCTCTAATCGCTCTTAATGGTTTTGACGCCAAAATGGAATCATCCCCTTAGCTTACTTACCGTCATTCACGACCTTGTCATGTAGCCTACAATTAGTAGAATCGGGATAAATAGGCGGCAATTGCTGACAATGGGCCAAGGTATGCCCTTCGCAACGACAAACTTTGTAGCACAAGTCGTTTCCGTAGCACGGAATCGGTACACGGACCCAAGATCCAGTGGGAACCATATATGAACTGCCATCACCTGTAACAAATTATCCATTTAGTTATTTAATTTCCATTGCAAACTGCAAAAGTTGTACTTAGCAAATGGATTTAGGAATGGTCAAATCCCGAAATGTATTAAGTTATGGCAAATAGATGATGATATTAGTATATGATGCAGGTGGTGTGATGTCAGGTCCGTGCTTTATAGCGTTCCTTGGGGGAGATTCCAGATGGTATCGCGTAGATTGTGTTTGGTGGAAGTCCTAAAGGGACACCTATGTTCAATAATGGAATTGTAAAAGATTGTCATGATGATAATGATGATGATGGTCATGATGGTGATGATGCTTTAGGCTGTTAGTTAGTTAGTGTGACTGACCGAGCGGGCAGGCGTCAAGGCAGGCGTAGCGCGCGCACGAGCCGCCGTACGCGCAGCTGCGGTTCACGACGCAAAGCTGGCTCGCGTTGCACGGCGACCCAGAGCACGGCGACGTCACCACCTCTCTGGCCGACAGCAAGGCTGGCTCTGTACCTGGTATAAAATCATTAATAAATTAGCGCTCAACTTCGGCTCCACCTGGACAGGATCTATTAATTTAGCTCGGATAAAATACAGCCTAGATGCATCCTGGTATTAGTCTCTAACTGTTCATAGAGTTTCATCACAATTGGTTCAATCATTCCGAAGATTAGCCCTGACAGACAACCAAACAGACAAACAAAAATTTTAAAAATTTGATCTTATTGGCATGGAAATAACCCCTGAGCATAAATAATATAAGACCATTATTTCAATATTACAGACAATTACTTTAATTTTCTGTATAGAAGTATTAAGTATGATGTGTAAAGAGATACTGACAGTGTTACCATCTCGAATTTTTCCAAATCTGTAGACTGGTGTAAACATTTCCGTAGAACTCCGTAGATGCTATTTTAAAATATCCGTAAATCTGCAGACTTCTTAAGAGGATCGAAAATTATTGTTTTTTCTTTTCATAGAATAGATCCATTTTTTGGAGAAACTCTTTCTGTGATGTAAAATTCTTGTTGTAAGTTCAATTGTAGAATAACATCAAATCAAGATGCAGATATAAAAAAGTACCTTAAAAAATTTATTACAAATTGATTATTTTCTTTTAATTAAATTATTTTGCGCAAAAAACAAATAAAATAATTAAAATTTAGTTATTTGTGGATATTTATACTAAAACATTTACTTGGATTGTTAAAATTTTCGATTGTCAGTTGTCGTGAACTTATTCGACTCATGGTGATTTTTTTCGTTAAATTTTTAAAAATGTTATTATTCTGAAAGGACTGCGAAGTACAAAAAAATTAACGTTGAAATCAAATTCCGTTGATTTCAACTCAAATTCCGAAGTTCCGTGGATGAAGAAAAAAAATCCGTAGATCTACGGAAAAAATTGTAGAGTTGGCAAAGCTGGATACTGACTAGGGTTGACGAAGTCCCGCAAGGAGACGCAGGGCGCGTCGTGGCGGGGAGGCGCGAGGCGCGCGCACAGCGCCGGCGCCGTCAGCTGCACGCGCGTCCACTCCACGCACGACGACACCAGCCGCATGCAGTCCTCCAGGCACAGCAAGCTGCTGTGCCCCTGCGACCACACAACACTACCGTAGCACACACTATACGATACTGACTGAGTCCTCCAGACCAGACTAGCCATCTGCGCAGGCAAACGAGCACACAGTCCACCCGATGGTAAATGGATGCTGCATATACAATTTTTATTAATAATCAAAGTGCATATGCGTTGTCACCCCTGACGAAATAGGAAATAGGAATTACAATCCAGCAAGTGGGATACCGCAATCCAGCGGGATTCAGCATAATGTATGAACTGCGGGATTCCGCAACAGCTTGCGTATCCGTAGGCGGATTATTGGCGGAATATTCTTACCCGCCACTACACGGTCATACGACCTGGTAAAACATGCAGAAAGTCGATGGATGCAGGTGGCTCAGGACCTTGGCATTCTTTGGAGAGGCCTATATTCAGCATTGGACTTGTGAAAGGCTGTAATGATGATGATGATACATACATACATAAACACTCACGCCTGTCACTCAGAGATGTATGCAGTCACCTCTGAGTAACATATTGAAAACGTAGTAGAGCCATGCTGCAGCTATATTAGTAGTATAGTTGTAGCACGAATGGGTCGGCTCGAACGGGGAAGGACCACGCTCTCACAGAATACCAGCGTCAAATAGCAGCTTACCACTGCTGTATTTCGTATGGTGAGTGTAGAGAACCGGAGACCCTTTTTACTGGAAAAGAGGCATTCCATCTTAGTCCTCACGGGTGACAACGCATCTGCATTTTGATTCGCAAACGAGGATAAATGTAGATGTCTATGGGCCACAGCAACCACTTACCATCAGGTGGACTGTGTGCTCGTTTGTCACCCTATACTATAAAAAAAAGACACAACGGACTTCTATTTGGCATGATCCTGACACACTTCTCTCGCCTCCTCTATATATTAATTTCAATAAAATTAAGATGCCTTTTATTTTAATTACTAATCTATAAATAAACTGATTAAAACTGGTGTGTTATTGCAATACTCTCATTATCCATATAAATAAATTAAGAGTTTTTATACATTTACCTTCACAGTTTTTGGATTTCATAGTTTAATTTAATAATAGCGCCATTTTATAATGTACTGCATACCAGTTTGGGGTGGTACCCACAGAACTGCAATTTTATATACATGGAGAGGGGACAAAGAGCTGTGCTCAAGGTCATGATTGAAAAACCTTACTGTTGACGTTTACAACGAGTATTATAAACACACAAGCACACGCACACGCAGACGTACACGCGCTCGCACACATGCACTCGCGCATTCATGCACGCACGCATGAACTCTGGACTCAATTACTGACCCGGATTCCAAACCGCGACCACATGAGCAGCAGTGGCTCTTATGATTACTAGACCAACGAGGCAGCACAGAGAGTACTAATCAGGAAATCCATCACCCTATTTACACCCATGGGTGTAAGCGATGGTTATGGAAACTGCCAGAATGATCACTTGGCTTCCGATTGGTAGCGGTATCTGCATCTCGTTTCCGACAGACGTAATTTACATGATCAGTGACGGGAAGCAGTGTCAAAGATGCGAGACGTCTGGCACGATTACCAATTCTCCTACAAGGAGTGGTGATTAACGAAAATCTTCCCTATGGGGACAAGCAGCTTTTATGGACTGATGACGAAGAAGAAGAATTCTTCGTACAGAATGGCCACTCAATCCTCCCGCCGCACCGACTTACTTCATACAAATTTCAGAAGACCCTAAGCGAATATAAGTGTTGTATTTGAACTTAACGTTCAAGTACTGTAACCTATGCTGCCGCGGTAGGTGATAACGACGTGTTATTTTTTACATTTTATCGGAAGTAGCCAAAGTGTGGTCATAACTCAGTAGGAAGTAGAGGTAAAGTTACAGCATACGTCCCACTGCTGGGTACACGCCACACCTCATTTCTAATGCCGGTGATCGGGGTCTCTGACGATCGATAAACAGTGGTACCCATTATACCACCCCAATATATGAGTGTGAAAGTTAGGAGTTCCAATGCAAATGACGTGACGTGACGTGATAGATTATCACGTCATTTATACTGTAGGTGTCGAAAAGGTGACTGTGGAGACTAGGAGAAATCATTTATTGCAAAGATGACGACATAACCATCTCTTTTCAGCTGTTATACCCAGACCAGAGATGTAGAATAGGGTCAAAAATGTAACCCTTAACTCCATATCATTCAGTGTTAGAATGCTAGCCTGCCGCATGATACATATTTCTACTAAATATATTCGAAAGTAAGCGAGGGCTAACAAGCGGATCAGCCAGTGTGGCCAGTGTGTATGGAACTATCAGCGGAAACGAGCGAATTCATTCTAAGACCTTCCAGTGTTTCCATTGCTAAAAGTAAACAATATCATGCCGAAATCTTTATACTTCTCACCTTATTGCTGCAAGGTTTAACATGAAGTGTACACGCAACGCTCTTCCAAAGGTCTGTAGGGCACTGAGAAGAATTTTTCAGAGGCAGGTTCATGCCTGAGATGAGTACAGATCTGAAAATAATGACATAATAATGTAATAATACTATTTATTTTAACAATTATTTTATTTTTTATTTATACCCCTGTGCACAATTAACTAAATAAAAGTAATTATCTGATTTTAACGCACTTATTCTAGCTTCTTTTCCACCGTCTTCAAATAAAAAGGTTCTCAATTCGTCGGAATCTTTTTTTTTTATTACTAAAAGACGCCTGAACCAATTTGGAAAATTCTTTTTTGTTTCAAAAGGTATACTTCCCAGGTGGTCCCATTTAAATTTTATCGAAATCGGTCGAGCGGTTTTAAAAAAATCAACAATAAATTATATTTATATTGAAGTCGGTTGAACAAAATTTTTAATTTTACCACTCGATATTTCAATTGTTTTGCATCATGGTCAAGGGAAACTGAGGTACTCGATTTGCTTCAACCTTTAGCTTTTCATAATCGATTTCTGGTGCAATCCACCCTGAACATAATATAGTAACTTGAATTCTTGCAGTGGTATGATTCAGTTTGGATTTAATTTTGTTAATAGTACGATTGCTGGCAGATGATAACACCAAGGCAACAATAACCTCTTCAATCATCCTCTCCAAACATCCTTGTAGTGATGAGCAAAATCAGACCAAGACGAAGATTATAGATACACTATGACCAAGACCAAGACCAGATGAACAAGAACAAGACCGAAACCAAGGCCGAAAATGCAAGACCTAGACCAAACTGCAAGACTAAACTAAAAATTATAACTTCCGCTGTAAATAGAATGTATGAGAAAATTTGTGATAACTTCAATATATTATGTTTTAAAATGTTTGATTATTGTAAAATAAAGTTTAATTAATGATAGATATTAATTGTTCATCGTTTATAATTTATACGTATAAAAGCCTTGAAAAATTTCCAAAACTACTTAAGTAAGTAAGCATACTGAATGAGCAAGATCATGGCCAAGACCAAGACAACAAGTTTTTGAGCAAGACCAAGACCAAGACCGGACAAGCAAGATCGATACCGATACCAAGACTGTCTTGGTCATAGAAATGTAAAAACGATGAGAAGTGGCAAGTGTAAGTCTGTGTCCGCTCGCTATGATCAAAATGCTCATGTTCTATGCAAATGGCTGTTCCTGCGAAGTCGTGCGCTTTCGACCGTCATCGTGGAACATTATCAGAATGCCGTGCTGTTGAGTAGTTTATTGTAAAAATCAAAAACTTAAAAAAAAACTGTAAAAAATTATGAAAAACAACAAATCGTAAAATATTTTTTGCTCTTACTACGTTATTTTTGTTTTCAAATATCACAGCGACTGTGCTGTTTTGCAATAAATACATTGCTCTTTGACCACTACCTAAGTATGCCGCTAAGTGACTGAAATGCGATGTAAATAATATCACAATGGATACTTTATTCATGCGGATGCATTGCATAAATAACCGCTGTATCTTGCGATGAGTTAGTGATGTGCTTCACTAACATAGGTTATCTAGAGCTAAAGGAGTAAGTAGTATGGTGTGGTGCGTGGTAAATGCAAACTCCGTTTGTAGGAGACTTTTAGGAGAATTGATTGTGTAATACTTTCTGATTTATAAGTGTGTGTGCGACTGTATGTATCTACATTTATTTGCTTTTACTGATATGCATGTGTAAGTATACATTTTCAACTACCGTGCATATCTCCTTCATTTTTATATCTATGGTCTTGATTTGCACATCACTACATCCTTGGTAGAAATTGTTATTCTTTTGCGAGGTTTATACTTTATCAAATCAGATTTAATGGCGATGGTGATACTCTATGTCTCATAGAAATGTGTACTTTTTCATTAGTAAATGAGATTTATAGTATCTTGTTTATCTTAAAAAATTTGCATGTTATTATTAATTTATCCTAGTCAACTCCTTTCTATTTATTTTTTATTTAAGAATAGGGTAGTGAATTTATGGCACTTGCGCGTACTTTACAGTTTAAAGAGTTTAAAAAAAATTACTCACCCTTTATCTTTCCTCTCTGCGACTGCGACATGCGCGTTGAGATCTGCCTGCGCGGAACAGGAGCGGAATAAAGTGGTCGGCCGGTTGTTGAGCTGGCTGCAATACGTTAGCCCAGCGCAACCAAGCGAGCACGGCGCGTCCACTGATTAGACAAACGATGCACTCCTAATCATTTCTGTCTTTTAAACTATTTATTTTTTATTTTCACTACAGCCTATCAAAGCCCACTGCTGAACCTCCTCATAAGTGGCCTCATGAAGGGACTATTTGACATAATTGCCACTCTTAACACCTTGTGATGTTAATAGCAGTTTTTTAATTTTCTGGTTGTTAAAAGAAGTCTCTGCCACCTATTTTCTGGTTTGTTTCTATCTGTCCCTTTTACTGGAAACGAGGCATTCCATCTTAGTCCTCACGGGTGACAACGCATCTGCATTTTGATTCGTAATCGAAGATAGATGTAGATGTCTATGGGCCACAGTAACCACTTACCATCAGGTGGACTGTGTGCTCGTTTGTCACCCTTGTCCTATAAAACAAAATCTGCTGCCTTATATGATGATGTGGAGTACTGAATATTCTAATAATAATTGTTTATTTATTAATTCAATAAGTTTATATAATATTATTACTTGTTTATTTGCTTTACGTTTTGTTTATTTGCTTTGCTTTTTGCTTGTTTATTTTGCTTTGATATAGGTAATATTTCGTTAAACTATATTGTGTAAATGGCACATCTTACGACAACCACCAAATGAGACGGTATGATGGATTCTCTTATCCACATCACATAACGAAAAGAAGAATATAAAAAAAAATATTAGTAGTATTTTTACCTTCTTCGATGCATTCAATTAGCTTCATCTCCTGCGGGTCTACCAGACAATCACTGTAGAACTTCTGTCCGTTGGTAGGCCAGCCAATGTTAAACGTTTCAAAGCATAGTCTCTTACAGTTAATTGTGACAGCCTGAAATCCAAAAAGATAAAAGTACTTGTACGTGTACTTATATGTCTAATGGCGGGTTTCTATGTTTAAAAATCCTTCGTTTTCTTTTACGAGCTGTTATTTAGTAAATGAACTGTGCATGAGAACACCTTTTATAAAACAAAATACAATTATTTATTCTATATTGTTTTAGAGGGTTCACCGTTTAAAGTTTTTATTTTTATTTTAAGTTATTCTAACTTCCATATTCTACATCCATTTTTGCTGTTATTTAACATACAACTCCAAATGTAATATAACGGATCGTGGCGGAGAAAATAACGTTCATTGAATATAGGAATAGGGTAGAAATAATTTAGTTAAACGTTTAGTTTTATTAATGACTCGTTTCTCAATGCAAAAGGGTTTTAAAAAACCATTTGACAAAACCAAAAATCTACTGGATCAAAAACTTACGAATGGATTAAAATTGTAATTTTAAATATTCTTGTTACCAAATTAATTGTTTTAACATAAACCTCATATTCGTTTTATTTAAATAAAACGAATATTAGCCAAGAACGAACGTTTTTTTTTTGAAAATAGGAATTAGGCATGAGTAACAATATTTAGATTCGGATAAATATCTTCTATTTAGAGCACATTCTTTTAGGTATATTAATCGAATAAGTTTAAATGCATTAAAATTAACTAATTATAAGAAGTACCTAAATTCCGACTTCAAAGAACTACTACAAAATATGTGTTGTTAAAATTACTTTTTCGCAGCAATGCAGCTTAGCAGCATCGTACGGAACGAAATTCTTCGTATTGACAGGCGCATCCTTCCTCAGAAAGCACTGCCATAGCTCGTCGTGTATCGCCGGTGCCCCGCAGTTCAAAGCCAAGGCGTCCGCAATCTCTTGAGACTCCCCCGTGCGATGGAGTACCTCCTCGCAGTTCTTGCGGCATTCCGAACTTGCAGACTCTTGGCAACATGGTAAATCTACAGTGAGAAGTGTTTATTATATCGCCAGAATACGCTGAAATATATTTTTATACTTTATTAAGTAATCATAATGTAGTAGAAAATGGGAAAGAAAGGTTCTCGAGTGGCAATATAGGGTAGTCCTCCACTAGATGGAATGACAACCCCAAGAGATGGAGAAAGTCAATCGATGTAAGTGGCTTAGGTTCGTACTATGTGGCATTCCTTGGAAGCCTCTGTTTATCAATTGACTTGTAGGGCTGTAATGAATGAATGGATGAATGTAGGATTAATATAGATAAGTATTATCTTATGTATGCTTCAAATATTTTAATACTTCTCTTTTATACATATCAAATATACCAAGATAAATAAGGACCATGCCATGAAGAAAAATAAAATGTTAAACTGATAATTTTGCAAGCCAGAGAAACCTTTACACCAGCGGCGATTAAAATGATGCTGTTTTATTTTAATCTAAAAGAATATGTGTTCTGTTCGAGATATAGGTACTACTCACATTTAGAAGTGTCGGTGTGCACAGTGGACGCAGTGAGGTCGTACAGGCAGCGTAGTAGGACGGGAGAGCCCTCACAGACCTCGGCGGCGTGGTCTGTGAGCGAGGAGTCAAAGCGGCCCAATCCCACCCTCCACACCACGCTCTCGCACACCTCGTGGCAGCTCAGCGACACCGTCTGCGCTGCAGGCAGTGGATGCTTTATACAGCTAATTCGTAAACGTTGCTATATTCTAACATTTTACGACTGTATTTGTGTAAGGTAAAACAAAGTAAACAAAAAAGTAAGTAAACAAGAGCCGTGGTAGCTCAGATGGTTAACGCTCGCTGATGGTTAGTTTCACAGTACGCGAGCAACCCGGGTTCGATCCCCTCCCGCACGTGGTAAATCAATTTTATGTGTTGATTTACCACGTGCTCTGAGAAATAAGAAAAAAATATATTTTAAATACATGTGAAGTTTACTAACACGCATTGGGTCAGCGCGGCTTACATTTCCTTGCCCTAAAACCGTCTCAGAAATGAGAGGGGGCCTGTGCCCAGCAGTGAGATGTATATATGTTGTAACTTTAACTTTTAAAACAAAGTAAGACAAAGAAAAGGAATAAGACACGCTATAACACAGTGAGGAAGCAGCTGTCTTCTTCCGAGAAGGGCCGCCAAAGCGCAACAAGCCTTAGTGGGGCAGAGGATGCTTGCGAAATCATTTTCCTGTCCTTGCCAATATGCGGCAAAATCAAAGCCTCCGAGAGTCGAGTATATGTAGGCATATAAAAAGGCGTACTCACAGCAGCACCACTGCGCTTCTTGTTGCCGCTGCACGCAGTCAAAGAAGGCGAGCTCATCGGAGCGTCGACATACTGGCGAGAGGGCCCGAGCATCACTAGCCGTGGCACAAGCGTGCCGACACTGCCCGCTGTGAGCCAAGGCGCAACATGTTTTGCCCCACCAGCCCGATCCCGATACCACTTCTTAAAAAGAAAAAATAAACAATAATCTTCGTACAAAACTTGTGTGACATGCAAACGCGTAGGTAGTTCACCTAATGATGATTGTTCAATACACAACATCAAACAACAAAATCAGTGTTTAGTTTCATCAGCATACTGTCATTTGAGCAATTGTGATTTAAATATTTTATTTATAACTATCTATTATTATACATTGTTTAAGTTATTCTTTTACATTTTAGAGACAAGCGTAGGTTTAGGCCAAACGTAGTGATTACGGTCAAACCTTCTACGGGAGAAGCTTTAGACCTTAGTACGACAAGCCTAATACATGCAGGGAGTCGATGGATGAAGGTGCTTAGTTCCCTGGGGGAGGTTTATGTTCAGCAGTGGACTTGTGAAGGGCCGTAATTGTAATGATGATGATGATGATAGAAGCCCGTACTGATGAAGAAGAAGAGTAAAGTGGGGAGAAACCTAAAGCAGGAGATTATTTGATATGAGACAATAAACGTCAAATTTGTAGTTTCGTTTAACTTACCTTGAATTGTTTGATTCATGCATATCCAGAACTCGATCTGTAAAAATACAATAATCAATAGATAGTACCTTTATTCTCGTATTCGTATTTTGTACTAGCCCATTACGCGACGGTAACCTGATCATGCGGTCCACAAGTAACTCAAGACCGATGTAAAGACATCCCCAATTACAATACAATACCAATAGGCGGTTTATTGACAAATGAAAAAAGGACGGTTTCACTGTGGATGCGAGCCCAATGAAATGAATGTAAGGTATCGTCTTACAAGTTCCCTCCCCTACGGGATAGAATTGTCTAAATTCACTGCAATTATCTGATTCAAAACGTCGACAATTTTATTGAACCTTGCTGAGTTACGTTTTTAACTGAATAATAACCACATACATATTATGTACATAAAGCATTAAGCCGCATCTAAAGGGATAAGTGATTATTGTTAATTTCACAGAACGCAAGCAATCGTATGGTGACGACGTGTCGTCACGCTACAAGCGAAACACCGAAGCCTAAATCACGCTGTCGAAGTTTCGAAGTAGTTAGAACAGCTCTGCACTAACACACAGACCGTTAACCGCTCCCTGGACTGAATAAGAGAATATACCAATCCATTTCATATTCATACCATTGGTTTCGTAAGAGTGCACTATGTGATACGATAGAAAATTTATGATCTCACTTGGATAACGGATGTAAAACACCCCATATCAGCGACGAGAGACCGCCAATTGACTGCAATTAAAGATTCCTATGTCGAACAATGGACTAATGTCTGATGAAGAAGAAGAAAGGTGGTGAATATTCCTTTTCTGTATGGATGTCCGTCTGGATAGGTACTATCGTATTATATTATTACTGTCTCCAAATAGTGCTTGCATTGCTGAGTTCCGCTCTGAATGATTACAGACTGTGAGACATTCCATCCCATCTTAGTCCTGAGGGATGACGACGCATCTGTAGAATTCTTTGTTTGAAGTTGCAGGTGTCCATGCACTGCAGTAGCCTCTTACCATCAGGTGGAATGTAAAATCGTTTGTCATTTCAGTTATATTTAAAAAAAAGAACAACCCGAGTTCTAGTTCGATCCCCGGCGGTACCATTAAAAATATGATTCATTTATTTGTGCTTTATTGCAATCACCTTAAATAAAAGGGTCACAAAGGTCGGATTTAATGCATTTTGGTATTGATTTAAGTTGATACTTGACATGGTAGGTAACCCTTCATGCGCGAGTCCGACTCGTACTTGGCCAGTTATTTAATATCATTAGTGACTGATTAAAGCAGTGGCGTTGCTGTGACCTGGACGGAACCCGAACTGATATGGACTCAGTAGGTTATTCTTAACGGATACTTTAGTTTTTCCATAGTATAATGTCGTATGGTACTTTGCTATGGGGACACGCGGCTGACACTGAAATTATGTTTTACAGAAGAGGGCCATAAGAGCAATTTATTTTTTAAATCCTAAAGTCGCTGCGACAAAAATTTAAGGAAATTAATATATTAACTTTGGCCTCTCAATACAATAAATTATGAAAAAGATTACGTAACACAAAAATAAAAGTAGTTTTATAAAAATAAGTGATATTCATTCTAGAAATACTAGGAACAGACACAAGCCAGTAGTACCAGTTACTCAACTCCACCGAGTCAGTAATTCATCATGGGTGCGATGTATACGCTTTTTCAACAAAATTCCAGAAATTATACAAAATTTGACCTGTTCAAAGTTCAATCTAAGTGTACAGAGTATAGACGGCAGAAAACGACATTATTTTATACTATGTAGCAATGTAGATAAGCTCCAACATAATTATAGTTTATAACCAACCTAACATTCAATATTAATCCTATATCTATTCTTTTACAAATTATGATTAATGATCTGATTATCTATTTTCATCATAATTATATCATAATAAGACCCTAGATTTGAATGACTAAATTACTTAGTCACCAAACCAAAGAGCCGCCAAAAATATAAGAAGAAAGGTTCTCATGCCTGTAATGATGATGATGATGACAGCGCACATTGTAGTATTACCTTGTAGTATTTGTGAAAGCGCTCTTATAGAGCGTTTTTAAAAACTCGTAGCGACATCTATTAAACCATTTAAGAACTACTTGCATCATTCATTACTTGTCAAGCTGAGGCTGAAGAAGATTAGAGAGTAGTGTATTCTTTGAAGAAAATGTATTTCTATTACTAAGTATGAATATTTCACTAGACTGGACAATAATAATTAAGTAGATACATAATATTGGTTAATACAGTATCAGGTTAAAAGAGTTTACCTTTTAATTCATCTGAGGGATCACACCCACCAAAGTATTATATAAGATCATTGACTCACATATTACTAGCGTACTTTTGAAACCAATTACGATGCAATTCAATTTTTTATAATATAATCTTATATAAATAAAAGAGTTGTGTATAATTAAGACTTAAATATGTATATATCTGCAGGTTGATCCACCTTACAACCAAAAACAAAATCTATTCATTTCACTAAAATTATTATTGAAGTGTATGTACTTACAAATATCGGGGGTTATTTACATACCATTAAGACATAAATAATAGGGCTAATATTCGGAATGGCTAAACCGAAAGTGATGAAACTTCACAAACACAGAGAGCCAAAAGTAATCATAGCTATATATTTTAAAATTTTTAGAGAATTATTTTTGTGAAATATAATGCTATTAATTGCAAAAATTTAAATACTAATATGTGCTACGTGCACGATAGTATATGACAATATTTGAAGGCAACCCGCAACCCAACAAATCTAAATTAAAAAAAAAATCTAAAAGGCCGGCAACGCATCTGCAATTCCCCTGGTGTTGCGGGTGTTCATGGGCGGCGGTAGTCACTTACCATCAGGTGAGCCGCATGCTCGTTTGCCCCCTATTCTATAAAAAATAATTTAAAATTAAAAATTTTGTACAGCCGACTTCAATATAAGCTATTTAAGAATAACTTAAAAACTATTGGTCTGACCTTGATCAAATTCATATGGGACCACACGAGAAGTACCAGCTTTCAAATAAAAAAAGAATCATCGAAATCGGTTCACCCAGAAAAAAGTTCTGAGGTAACACACATAAAAAAAAAACGAAAAAAAAAACATACAGTCGAATTGAGTACCGGCTCCTTTTTGGAAGTCGGCAGAAAATTATTTCGAAGACGTATGAAGCTTGCCAACACACTGCAGCAGCGCAATGAACTAACAGTTTCATAAAATGAGAGGAGTTTGAGTCCAGCACTGGGATATTTTTAACTGTATCTTTTGCATAACGGTTTTGTGCTCCTGTGCGCATGGCAGCTCAGGGACTAAAGCTGGCCATCACGTGAACTACCTTAGTTTGGTACGCAACGAATTATTATATATATATATTTATTTCAATTTTAAATGCCGTTGACGGAAAAATAAAAAGATCTTGGGATATTTAGTAAAAGTAACCCGTGTAAATAGAAATATCTCTATGTACATTAGATTACTTCTCTAATTAGGAATCCGTCTAGGTACGTACTTATTTCTGCCACCAAACCACAGTGCAACCACTACTGTATTTCGATTTGAGGGTGACAAAGCGTCAGACGCTTTTTTGTCTATATCCGAATCATTTTCACTTTTATAGTATAAATTATATACCATTTTTCTTCCAACGTCATACACGTATGCGCTTATATAAGCGTAGATTTTCAGTAAAATTAATACCAAATATAATTTTATCCCTTGAGTATTTTTTACTACTTATACCTATAGCAATTTGATATACTTACTAAATCAGGGGTGCAGAACTTGTAAATATTTTGTATTCTCTCCTCGCGAATGGTTGAGCCCAACGACATCTGAAACGAAAACATTTTAAGCATCAAATAAAATAATATTTAAAATTCTCAAATACTTTGATCCGAAAATGTATTATGTGTACACGTAATCATCAAAGAATAGCCCAAACCGCGACTAGATTTAGTCCATGGCCCAAAGTTAGATGCGTTTAAAGTAGAAACAACTCATAAATCACTTTATGACACGAGACTATAATAATTCACTTCGCTTAAACATTTTAAATAAAGCGTATAAAAGGCGACATAAAATCTAAACATCATCAAATTGTTTACGTTATTTAATAATTTATTAAGTTCTTTCAGTATCCAGTATAAGTGTAAGCTCTCGTGAATTTTGGACGGCCATATACCTACTAAATCAACGACCTAAAAAGATGCTCAAATCATACAAACACATGTTGTGCGCTCTTTACTGGACCGCATGAGAATTGCCTAATGAAATTAATTGACAACAAAAACACATCTCAACTCCCTTCTCGGGTTTCTAATTACTCCGCGCGCAGCTAAATTTGTGTTTCATTATGTGAGAGATCCTATAATTAACTCAAAACTTGTCACATGTTATTGGACATGTTACAAGTACCTAAACTTTTTTGTTGTATCCGAAATGTCGGTAAATGTGATAATATTTTTATCAAAAAACTTTTACTCATTTTACTCTACTCTATTTTTATAAACGCTCTACAATTATATATACAGTAACACTCGTTGTTTTTAATATAAAAATTTGCCACGTATGTATTTCGTTTTGTTAGTTTCATAGAAGTGAGTTAAAGAAATAGGCCGAAATTTTATCATAAGAATTTCGAACTTCGACTTTAGAAATATCCCAAATAATAAACAACAGGCATACCTTTATCACTTTACCTGAGAATGTGAGTAAAAATATAATTACAATAAAGATCATGGCTTTACCATAACTAAAACGGTATGAATGTATTAAAATATTTTTTTAAATATATTTATTAATAAGAATATTCAAAATATTTACTGTAAAAGATTATACAGTATTAACGTCTAAAATAAAATTTTGATCACATTTTTGTTTTTAAAATTAAGTAATGTGCATCTCATTGCCGTCACTTGTTATCTCAGTTCCTTATCTGTAGGAGTAGTGTAAAAAAGGTTATCGCATGCCACTGCTCTACATTCCTATAGAATAGAGTGGTATATTATACCGATGTTTTTAAGTATTACGAAATATGACCCGATATCAAAGAGTTGAGGGCACTTTCTTTGTTATCACTTATCACTCTATTAGAAAATTGTTTTTGTTGTATTTTGTCACTTACATCTTTACAACTTACATCCACCTTCAGTTAATATTTAATTTTAAATTATACCTTAAGAAGGAAAAGGGATTGATAAATATTTTTATTCAGATGATTTAGATCACTCTAAATCTATTATTTTATATTCAATTTCCATTTTAGCCCACAGGGACGATAACGGATCTAAAGCCTTCTTTAAGTTATCTACAATAGTTCGTTTCCAACTGTTTGCTACACTAATGTAAAAATACAAGACAATTTGGACACCACATTTCTATCTGAATAGTGAAAATTATATTTCGTAATCTAATAAAATTTGTCTACTATTAAATACTTACCAGTATACCTAATTGCAATAATAATAAATTATTTAATGGAAGAAAAGTTAAAGAAGAGAAATAAATTCAGGATATAAAAACTTTAATTTGTCAACCACGCCTTAGTTAATTATGTGGTTTACAATTCATGTAATTTAAATATCAACATCTCAGCATGTTTAAAACATGCAACGCTACGATATCGAATAGATGGACCTGCTATTCAAACACGGTTCTCCATTGTCCCTCGAAGGCGCTGACAGAATAAAATCACATGTGAATATTAAGTTCGATTATAACACTTCGTCGATTAACCTTCCGATTCGTTTCCGGACCATGAGATGTTAGAACACTAGAGAGTAGCGAATAAGAGTGAGCGTATTTATCGTAACAGAAAAAAACTGTTCCTGTTCCACGATCGACCAATGTTCGAAAACATGGCTCAAGCATCTTGCAAGACGTTCTTTTATGTTCTTGCTTAGGGATATAATACGTAACATCTGTTAAATGCCTGTTTTCACATTCAGATAATATAAATAAATATTCTAGTATTCTAGCCTTACTATTGAATTGGAAAGCTTTAATAAATGTATACAAATAATAAATGATGCAATATTTATGCTAAGACAAGACGTCACCGTTAACAAAAAAGTAAAGCTAACTATAATTATAATAACCTCATTGTACAATTGCAAATGTGTCCGGACATTTGTTTCTCTCTTCTAGTAGTGCAAATTTTGCAATTATTGCGAAAACTTTGTGAATAAAATCCTAAAAAATTTAACAAAATAATGTAAAAAGTGATATAATAATCTGCAATGATCGTGAACATTTTAGTAAAGCATTGCAAGTGTGAATCAACGCTTTTTCCTAGAGAATGATTCTATCGTTATATATTTTCCTTATTTATCATGAAACAGATATATATGTATATAATATAATGTATATATTTATATATTTAACGTAAATAAGTAGATTTATGTATTTGTGTACCTACGTCTGTATTAGTAGTATATTTACATTTGTATGATATATGTATAGAATACCTTATGTATATATATATATATATATATATTCTGGTTTATTCCAACTTCGTTACCTGTTGTTCTCATTATTACTATATTTGACTGGGAGAGAATGCCTTAAGGCATTAGGTCCGCCATATTTACGATTTTTCTTTTGTGAATAAAAGTTTAAATAAATATAAGGAAATGAGTTTCTTAACCGCTAAGCACACAATAAATTGCAAATTTATCGAAAACTACGGAAACAACAAATACATTCTCATTTAATTCATTAAACGGATAAAGACAGTTTATTTAAAATAATAGTTGTTCAGGCGAACGAAGTAAACTTTAAACTCAAAATTGAGGCACTTTTAATAATGTTCAGTCTGAAATATTTGAGAAAATATTACACCTCTATGATTTTTAAAGATTTTTATATAATTTTACCAATAATGTCGTAGAGCGATGAAAACACCGTCACCAGCTACAAACGATAAATGCGTCCACGTAATATATTAATTGTACTACACAAGTGCTACGTAACCCTTATTTTGGAACAATGATCATTGTATACAAATCACATGTCGTTAAAACAAGTCTAATGCGGCCCACACCATCACAGAACGTTGTTATGTGTTTATTGCAATCACTGCGAAATTAATACATCGCAGATCACTGTAACCAACATATTATTATTAACAATAAAAGCTTGATAAACTTGATAAACTTGAAAATATACCTATGCTGCACGTCTGCGTACAGGAGGCTAATTCCGTGAGGTAGTCACGATCGAGCTGACGCCGTTAACAAAAAAACATATTGTTCTCTTCTAAGTATTTAGGCGTTTTTGATATTTATTTTTGATTTTTCATTCAAGTATGGCCTCTCAAAAAACCAAAAAGTACTGCATAGCATACGGGTATAGCCTCTCACGGAATTAGCCTCCTGTAGGCGGCCGCGCAGTTTAGGTATATATTTTCATGCATAAAGCGCGAAGTGAAACAGGCCTGGTAAACCCGTTGGTCCTGATCCAGATCTCTCTCCAATCGTGTCGGATTGCCGATTATTGAAATTATTTTAACTTACAACTATGTATTATTAATAAATTTACGCGTTACCAATTTTAATATCTCAATTGTAACTGCATCTTATTTTAATTTAAAATAAATACTAAGCCAACACGGAAGTTAGCTTTCATTAATATACATTACAGCTTTATAAAGACTATCAGTATTCTAGCCATTCTAAATGCGTGAGAATCTAACAACAGAGCATGTGTATTCGCTGTCCTAGCCAGATGATCGTAAGACGATAATAAAAATATATTATGCCGTTCACATGTAGAAAGCAATCTGTTCAAACGAATCTAAAGCACTGTCAGTAGCGAGTAGCGATGTCTTGATAAATTTTAATAAAATAATCTATCGTCACAAAAATAAGAAATATATTTATGACGATATATTTTAGCGTAAAAGCAAGAAGTAAAGAATTTTCAATAGCGTTTATTTCAGTTTCTCAATAAACATTTTTTAATAACAGCCGCTGTGACTCAGGAAAAACCAACAAAACTTTCTGAAATATTTCTTAATTGTAATACATAGCACTTTTGCTGTAAGGTGGCGGCTATCAATCACGACATTTTCTCCGGTGAGTGTCAACTGAGGGATATGCCAGAAGTTGTGACTTCCGCTAGATGGCGGTATAACCATTTCGTTGACTTCAGGTGTTTTTGGTTTTAGTTTAAAAAAAAAGTGTAAAATACCCAGACCGACGGCGGGGGACAGCGTCAAAAGATGCGAGACGACTAGTACTGTGGTCTTGAACCCACTTGCTCGGCGTGATGATAAAGGCAAATCTTCCATACAACGGAAGAGGCGCATGTTCAGCAATGGACTTTTACGAGCTAATTAATAGAAGAAATAGTACTTATAAAATACAAATATTAAAATTAACCTGTAGCAAAATTAAATAAATAAAATTGAAGTGTCTGTATGTAATGTCAAAATAACAGTTTTGTACTAAATGCATACGGTTCTTATAATATGAAAGTACATCGGTACTAAAACTTTTTACTCGGAACACAATTTTTTTTTAATTCTGTCTCTCTGTCTGTCTGTCTGTTTGTTACGGCTAATCTCCGAAACGGCTGGACCGATTTTGACGGGATTTTATATTATACGAGTATTAATAACTTTAACATCAGTTATATTAATATCTTTATTATAAGGAGTAACTTAGGCTACTTTTATTTTAGAAAAATAATTAGGGTTGGGCGCAAAAATATTAAAACCCATGAAATCCAATCGTAAAAAACCATCACACGTGGGCGAAGTCGCGGAGAACAGCTAGTTTTAAAATAAAAAACTTAGTTCGTAACTATCTTTTGAAAGGGTGCGTTTTATATG